ACTAAATAATAAAAGCAAACAATAAACATTTTGTAATAATATCATTAAATTTGTACAGAACTCAATTTGCATAATATTTAGTCGTAAATAGTTTTTGCCTTCGATTTTGGGCGATAATGGGTTTTAAGCCGATTAGCAATGTGCCGGGTTAAAACCAGGGCGCTTGTCCATCTCTGTTCACAACTCTTGAAAAACGTGAAGTCCCCAACCCGCAATGGTCAGCGTGGCAGACCACCGTCTAAACCCTCTAGAAAAAAGCAGTACTCAGCAGTGGGATACGTAATGGGTTGTGGGATGATGTTTTGATGTAGATTGTCGTTTGCTTTGTTTCTTGGTCTCCACAAAATTTCAAGGTCAGTTTATTTTGCATGAAAACCCGGCAATAAATGAGGGGAAGTAATTTTAAATTTTATTGTTTGGTTGTTATTCTTTACTAATTAGTTAATTTGTTAACCATTCCATTGTTATACAATCAATTTTCCACAATCTACTCAAGTTATGCAACAAGTTATTCATGTTGACATTTAAAGAACTAAAATTCGTTTCAAGAGGCTGTATCCTGGCCCGACATCAGAGCCGCGACTCAAAGGCTCCTGGCGCCACTCGTCTCACTGTTGACTCAACTCTCACGACTGCTGACGTCAACCTGGTTGTACTCAATAAAGCATAAGTAACACTATCAAATCAAATCAAAATTCGTTTATTTCAGACAGATACAGTCAATAATCTTATAATAGTTACACAATTAAATATGGAGTCCCATCTACTAGTATTAAAACAAAAAATAAAATAAAAACAGTCATCAAATTGAGAGCGAATGCAGTCTCATGCAATGGAGCATGATGAGCTCTCTTGCTAAGAATAGCATGAAAGCCATCCGTGAGCTTCTACGAACATGCGATGCAGTACCGCGGCAACCCCAGCAACACTCTAAATGCGTTGTACTGAATGCACAGGGCGCTAATTGTCTTTCTGCGAACAGTTGACTTCCCTGAACGAAATCTTTCACAGGGAGCTCTACTTGTGCTCTGATTACATTTAGTTTGCAGTTTCTTGTGTAAATAAATGACTTTGATAATTATAAGTGATGAGGAGGAGTTCCTACTTCGGTCTACCAGAAAATCCGGAACTCTCCATTCTTATGCAATTCATCTAACCACAGATTTGTACGAAGAGCTTTGCTCTAGTGTTACTGATGATACTGTGAAAGAAAGAAGTACAGCGCATCATACAGAACATCTACGTTTTCCCGAAAACTGTAATTCAGGGTTAGAGAAAACTAGAGTGAACAGTCATGTACTAAAAAAATCGCGGCTTTACTCAATATTTGTTGCCAAGTTTCAAAAAACACAATAAAAGCCTTGCTTGACTTCAATCTCCTAGACTTAATCCTTAAAGTATTATCAACAAGCCTTCCTTTAGGTAGGGCTTGTATGCAGCGATGTTTCAATTTGAGATAAACATCTAATATGACGTTGTATGCTGACGAAGCACATACGAGATAATACCGTTTCAGTGGTCTTGGTTTTGTTTGCAGCTTAACATCGTGTTTTTAATTTGGCTTTCCAGAAAATGACAACGTAGAGGATACTGCATATGCAAGCATGTCTAGATACCAATTATGACGTCTACGCCACTTAATACAGGGTGGTTCAATGAAACAACCTAAGTTTGGTGTTAACGTGCGCCTGCGATACGTCCTTTCACATCGATATCTAGCGTCGTAATGGCGAAGCGATCAGGACGCGACGCACCTTCATTTCACCACACCAAATATAACGGATTATTACGGAATATTACTTTAGGAGATTTCTAAACTAAGTTGTGATAATTAATCCTTGGATTTGTGTGATATATATAAAATATTCTCTCAGTTTATACCAAAAACACTGGTTAAGCGTATACTTTTAAGTGCGCGTCCAATAGCGCTATGGCGTTTATTCTGTGCTAATAAAAATGTTTATTACCCACCTTAAACCGTGTTATTAACGCTTGTGGTATTTTATCATCGTTATAGTACTGATGACAGGTGCCATTTTGGGTATTAGCTGTTCTTTGTTTGTCTTTTTGTGTTTTAAAAAGATGTATTAGAACGTAGTTCAACAATATGATACTAATGCAGGGTAAATTTAAAGTAAACACAACTTCGATCATACGCAAAAAACCAGAAGCATTTTTTTGTCATCAGAGCAGAAAAAAATGTTTCTAGTTTTTTGTTAATACGTTCTTAAGGTTGAGTTCTGAATGACAAATCCAAGTTTTCGATTTTTTGAGGAGATAAATAACAGAAATAGCGAACAGTGTTTGAATAGACTTCATTAGCGACACGGCGGAGTAAGCCATTAGAATAATATCAATTAATACAATGCAATACAAAAAAATAAAAATACTTATACTACATTAATGGTTAATTAAGTCGTTCGGAAACAGTTACGTCAGCAGAAGAACGAGATTCGTTGGATTTAACTAGCGTGGTCTGGGAGGGAGTTTAAAAGATGCCAAAACTGGTCTTCTATAACTTATTCGAAAACGGTGAATACTATAACGTAGAACCCTTTATAATGTAATACATTTTTTCCCTATGACATAATTAAAAGGTTATAGGAGCGCCAATAAGGTGATTTTTTAAAATGATGTCTTACCTAATTTTAGCATGTTATTTATAATATGTAATCATTCGTTATACGACATTCATATTATTTTCCAAAGTGTACACAATGAGTTTATGTACGGACAAGCGCACATCAGACTACACACTTTTGTTCGAAAATCGCCTCCAGTGCAACGGAACAAGATACGTCAATGTGTAGCTTGATGTGCTGTTGACTGTATGTACCTACGTAAATTTTGTTTACGTGCGTTATCATTTTCCGAAAAAACTACCAGGGTGATGAAACCAACGACAACAGAAACTTCTAGAATTTGAAAACTGAAAGGTGAGATTATGGCCCTTTAATTTATTTTACTATATTAATAATAAATAATTCTAATAATGTACATACAATACAATACAACGACACCAATTTTCTGGCCTCAAATTAGGGAATTCCATGTACTCTGAGTACATAGCTCGTCTTAACCCGTACCTTTAGCCGAACGTAATTTGTGTTATTTAGCACGATCTGGCGCTAAAGTCACCATTACACAACCTGTGATTTTGACGATGTTTTTTTAATAATATCAAGTGACGGGAAGAACAAGTCGTGCACCTGATGGTAAGCAACACGCCAGTCCATAACAGCTGCAGTGCCACTCAGAGTTTTAAATCGCAAAAATCTGAGGGGCACTGCCACTGCGCCTGTCACCTTGAGATATAAGCTGACAAGTCCTATGTGCCTGTAATTTCATCAGCACCCATACTCTTCAAAACCGGAACACATTAATGCTGACATTACTGCTTGGCAGCAAAAAAGGTAAGGTGGCGGTACTTCCCTGGACGAACTCTGTCACAAGGAGCTCCACTGCTACCAATGTCAGCTTACTCATCTCGTCAGACGTTCTAGTAACTACTACTTGGCCACAATAACATCGTTAATTTATTTTAAAGAATATTTTTATGAAATTATATATAAATATATTTATGAAAAGTGGCTCGCTTTTTAATGTCTTCTGTAATGTTAGTGTGTATAATAATAATATGGACGACAAATACTGTCCCCTAGTCTGACAACTATCTGGTGTCAAACTAGGGGATTCCCTGTACTATGAGTACCAGTAGTAAAACAAAGAGAAACTGCTGTGCTTCAGTAAGAAATCGACGTTCGGCATTTGTTTCGTTAATTTTCTCTACCTAATTTCGGTGGCAAATTTTATTATTTGAATATTCTATAATATTACCAAGTAGTATTATTTAATATTCGAGTATAGTCTCCTGAAATATCATTTAATATTTCACAATAAGAATACTCGAATAATTAAATAATAAAAATTGCCACCGAAATCAGGTACAGAAAACTAATCTGAAATTTATCAATCTGTGTTCCAATCGTGTCTGCTTGCGTGTGTGTACGTGTGTGTGTAAAGCAAGATAATAAATGTTCTATCTATCTAAAATACCATAAAAGAAACCTGTAACCAACGATAGTCGTTTAGAAAACAACCACTGAAATCTTTGACATTACTCTCTTGTTACATTTACATACCTTTGGAAGTGGCCCTTTTTCAAGGAGACACTTAATCTGGCTGAGATATGTACGCGTTTCGACCCACACACGGTCATTATTTAAGGTACCTTTAGTGTACAGGATAGCATAAAACAATGTGTAGACTGGTGTAACAACGTGTTACGGCAATTTGTCGGCGGCACCGTAATCTGTTGTGGTTTGTCGTTTTGCCGCAGCCAGGTTTGCGAAACATGTACACGGCGAAATATGTCCTTTTTTCTTATGTTCTGGATCCACTGTTATTGTTTTTAGTCTTAATTAGCTTTTACACGTCTCCGTGGCAGCGTTAGCATTTTTAAATGTTTGTTTTTTAAAGGTACCTTTTGAATACATTCCGTTCAGTTACCAATTCCAAAACTCACGCTAAAAATGACACTTAAGTCCACTTGCAGTAAGCTTAAGTATGTCTTGAACCCATGCTTGCAATGCAAAAGACACTTTTAGTATATTGTGTCTTGTGTATCTTATCAATTTATTTGCATCGCTGTTAAAAATCGCCACGTGGAACCGCTCTAAGATGCTCTTAAGTTTAGTGCAAGTGGACATTATTGTCTCTGTAAAAAACTAGGGGCGGGTGCGTTTCTGTAGCGTATCGCTTCCAGCATAAATGTAGACAGTGGCGCTTCTCGCTACGGCACGTATTATTCACTGGATCTTATACCTGAGTACTTGATCCCGGCCGACGATGACTCTTTTCATTAAAAAACAAACAAATTGATCTTTTAGGTCATAGGAGAGTCTAAAATACAAGTAAGAAACAATTTGAGTAGCAGTAGAGCTCCTTGTGAAAGAGTTCGTCCAGGGAAGTACTGCCATCTTACCTATTTCTTTGACGGAACAGCTGACGGTCTAAAAGTCTTTGTCATTCGTCTTAATATTTTATTCTCTATTTCGTGTGCAATCGTTACAAACACAGTGCAATATCTTACATACAGAACAATAATATCTGATACAGTGTTTAATTACATTATTTTGAATTAATATTGACTATAAAAGTGAATAAATCCGTGGAAATAATTAGCAACAACGGATCAGCTGACGTGGGTAGTGTGTGTGCAAAAAAGTGACCAGCGAAGTGCAGGTGGGAATTCCGCCCTAATTGTTATACGCATAACCGCGAAAGTAGCGTCAACCGCCACCGCTGTGACGTTGCAGTCGCTCTCTGCGCGGAGTATACAACGCAGAGCGGTCATTCAATTGTGCCTACGCACGCGGCCTCTGAGGGGACATCATCGCTGCATCAAAGCAGTCCTTGATTATTTCTAGCCTGAAATTAACTACAGCCGGAGGTCGTCCACTGCTGACCACAGACCCTGTAAGAAAACATAATAATTTCTATTTCACGCACTATGGCCCCTAGTTCTATCAACATATGCTCAGGATGTAGACAGGAGATATCTAATGGGGAATATATGGCTTGTGCGACGTGTAAGGGCAAGTACGACCTAGCCTGCCTGAACATATCTATTAAAAAATTTCTTCAACTAGATCGAAGCCAGAAGAAGAGTTGGATGTGCTCTGAATGTCGCAGTAAGCTACCTAAAACTGATAACTCTAACACACCTGTTCGTTTAGCGCATATCAATGACAGCGCTCATAATCCTACGGGTGTTGACCAGTCCATAAACGAAACTTCTTACATTACCGTTAGAGCCAAGCAGCAACGGTCTTCTCCCGCTCCTGACTGTGCCAATTATATAACTGAGGATACACTCAGGAGTATCTTGCATCAAGAAATGAGTCATATTCTGGAAAAGAAAATCAAGGACCTAGTAAGTAATGAACTTATTTGCATTACCCAGCAAATGGCGGGTTTTAACGAGTCAATGACATTTTTCAACACACAATTTGAAGAAATGAAAAATAGCCTGGAAGAGAAAAATTCGCAACTTATCCAATTAGAAAAAGAAAATACGAATCTACAGGCAACAATGCGTGACCTTACGAGTAGGATGAATCTTATCGAGCAAAATCTACGGGAAAGCAACATAGAGATTAATGGTATTCCAGAGAACAGAAACGAAAATCTGCCAAACATTGTCTTGCAACTCACGAAGGCCACTGGAAATCCACTTACTGACACAGACATCTTACATGCAGTCCGTGTTGCGAAGTTCAACAAAGATGACGGCCGACCGCGTGCTGCTGTAGTGAAATTACGAAGCCCTCGCTTGAGGGACGCTGTACTGGCTGGGGTAGCAAATTTCAACAAGAAAACTCCGGACAACAAATTATGCTCCCATCACCTTGGCATCGGAGGTTCTCGTTCGCCTGTCTTTGTTTCTGAGCATCTGACTCCGACAAGCAAACAACTACACGCTGCAACGCGTAAAAAAGCCAAAGAAGCAGGTTACAAATTTGTTTGGGTGCGCAACGGCCGTGTGTTTGTCCGCAAAGATGAACAGTGTCAGTATCTGTTAATAAAAAATAACGACTGTTTAAAACTAATGACGTAAGCATCTGTACCTTTTGACACTTTATATTTCACGGTAAATGTTATGGTGTACACTTAGTTAAAAGTGATTAAGTTATACTATCAGAATGTGCGTGGAATCAGAACCAAGACAAACGAGGTTTACAAAAATATCGCTCAGTGTAATTATGACATTATTGTCTTCACGGAAACATACCTGAACTCTAGTGTAGTGTGTGGCGAATTCATCGACGACAGATATGTCGTTTATCGAAGGGATCGCCTATGTGTTTCCAAGGATCGATCTGGGAAAATTGGCTCTAGGAATGTTAAACGTTCTAAGTTGGACGGCGGCGGTGTTGCGATTGCCGTAAAAAAGAAATTTCACTCAGTAAGAGTGCCCAGCTGGGAAACTAAATCTGACTTTGAGGACTTGTGGATTACGGTAGACTACAGTTCGGGAACTAAAAAGCAAAAGATAGGTATTTGCGGTGTCTACTTGCCTTCGCCGGCCAAATTGGAACGTCAAAAAATCTTTATCGATAAGGCTAACGACGTGATGAATCATGTCAGCGAGGTTGTCATTTTGGGCGACTTTAATATGCCAAAAATCCATTGGAATAGAAATGACAATGGGCAATCAACTACGCCCAGTAATTATAGCGGTCCCCTCGAGTACTCCCTAATCGATTTTATGTCATTAAACAGTCTTTGCCAACTTAACTTCATTCATAATAAGGATGACAGAATCTTAGATCTCGTACTCACTAATGTGCCCCAGGCCTACATTACAAAGCCCTTGGATCTTCTTACTAAGTTGGATTCCTATCATCCTCAATTGTTGCTCGAGATTCCACTAATGCGGCAGCACGATGCGGACTCTACGAGACGTACTGAATTTAACTTTTTTAAGGCGGACTATGACCAAATAAATTCCAAGTTAAATGCTGTAGACTGGTATGGTATGCTTATTAACACTGAAACTATTGATCACATGGTTTCGGTTTTTTATGACGTACTGCGGGACTTAATTAGTCAATTAGTACCAAAACGCAGGTTCAGAAAATCCAGTTTTCCCCCCTGGTTCAATAATTCTCTTATTAAATTGCTGTCTGAGAAGGAAAAATTGAGGCGAAATTATAGAAAGTTTAATAACCCTCGGGATAAGTTGGAGTATGACTTATTAAGAAATCGTTGCCATCTACTTTATGAAAAATGTTATAATAACTATAAGCGTAGTCTCCAGAACAACATCTTGGAAAACCCAAAAGCTTTTTGGCGCCACATAAAAAGTACTAGACAGAAGGTTGCACCCATACCTAATACAGTGAGTCTGCGCGGCCGCTCCAGTAGCGACGGAAAGGAGGTGGCGGGTCTTTTCGCCGAACATTTCTCATCGGTGTTCAGTAGGGCCAATAACGGTACCAGCGAGAACCTTGCCTACACAAGTCTTTTACTGCACAAAATTAATCTCACCGAGAGAGACGTCTTGCGAAAATTGAGAGGTCTGGACATCTTCAAAAGTCCAGGGCCTGATGGTATTCCACCCCTTTTTATCAAACGGTGTGCCCACACACTAGCATATCCCCTTTCCCTTATATTTAATCGCTCATTAATGGAGGGTTCCTTTCCAAAGGAGTGGAAGAGAGCTAGGGTCTGTCCAATATTCAAAAAGGGCGACCCAAGTGATGTGGCAAACTATCGTCCTATATCGATCTTGGCTTGTTTCTCGAAGATATTCGAGTCTCTTATTTGTCCTCTTGTCGCCCGTCACGTAAATTCTAGTATCTCCCATAGTCAGCATGGCTTCATTGGTGGCAGGTCAGCGCAGACTAACCTGGTACAGTTCATAAACAATGTAGGTCAAATCTTGGACAATGGCGGCGAGGTGGACGCGGTCTATACAGACTTTTCCAGCGCTTTTGATACGGTCAGTCACTCTCTTCTCGTAAAAAAGCTGGAGGGATACGGTTTTTATGGCTCACTGTTGAAATGGTTTACCTCCTATTTGAATGATAGAGCGCAGTTTGTGGCTGTCAAGGGATATGTGTCTGAGTTGTATGGCGCGACATCTGGTGTGCCCCAGGGTTCCCATTTGGGTCCTATATTGTTTCTCCTATTTATAAATGACATCACATCAGTCATTCACCACAGTAAATGCTCCTTATTCGCAGATGACCTAAAAATTTACAAACAAGTGGAATGTACCCAAGACACAATTCTAATCCAACATGACCTTAACAGGATACAGCAATGGTGTCTTAACAATGATATGACCCTCAATGTTCTCAAATGCAGCTTTGTGAAATTCACCAAAAGAAAACTGCCTATCCCATCTACCTACACTCTGAACGGTACACCTCTTGTACAGGCATGGGAGATTCGCGACTTGGGGGTCTTGCTGGATAGCGAGTTGAAATTCACACCCCAATTATAATAATATTATCCGTAAATCGGCGCAAATGCTGGGGTTCATCAAGCGAAATACCAAAGGTTTCCTGCCTTATACCAAGATATTTCTATACAATGCGCTGGCTCGAAGCCATCTGGAATACTGTTCCATGGTATGGAACCCATTTTACGCTGTACACTCGCAGAGGATTGAGTCCATCCAGCGTTCTTTCACGCGTCATCTCGCTTTTATTTCTCCCAATGTCTCACACCGACAACACTATGAACAGCGTCTTCGTTATTTTGGTATGATTGCTCTTCGCAATCGTAGGCTAACTCTGGACATGATGTTCCTGTATAAAATACTTCGCGGAACCGCAATCAGTACTGAAATTTTGTCATCTATCAACCTCGCCGTCCCTTACCAACTTCCAAGGCAGCCGATATCTAGAGTCTTTGCTCCGAAAACTTGTCGTACGAATGTGGGTTGTAATGCGCCAATTACAAGGATGTGCAACGAGTACAATGCCCTATGTAAGAATAGCAGAGACTTAGACATTCATCACGACACACCTGCTCACTTTCGCCGTAAAGTGATAGATTCTTCCCGATCGAATCATTGATTTTTATTGAAAACAAAACAAAATATCAGTTGCTTAAATAAATATTGTATTACTAGTTAAAATATTGTTTATTTAATTGCATTATATTTTTCTATTATGATCTACATTGACTTTAAGATCCTATATTTATGTCCAATTGTTATGTCTAATTTTAATTTTAATTTTGATTTTGATGTTTAATTTTATGTCTAATTCAATTTGATTTTTAATTTTAATTTTGATTTTATATCATGACAACAATGACATAGCCCTGTTGTAAATTATATTTATATTTAATTTTGATTTAATTTTTATACATTTCATTCGTTGACGCTTAGTCTGACAAGTTAAATTTTGTATATTATTGTACTGTATAAGTTTGTGAGTCAGTATTTTGGATCAGTGATGAGCTTACCTGTAATTGGAATACATATAAGAACAATGCAGCACATAATCTTTTGTGAAATCCAATATATGTAATTCTGTTGGTTCGCCAAATAAATAAATAAATAAATAAATATTTCTGCCGCTAAGTATAAATACATGAACATACAAAAAAAATTATACTTTACAGTCTGCACGCTGACCCAATGCGGGTTGGGGAGTTCGTCCAGGGAAGTACTGCTATCTTATCTATTTCTGAGTCCCAGTTTTGACGAGCGATGGTGCTGGTGAAATAAAAAGCACATGTCAACTTATGTCTCAAGGTGACGAGCGCAGTGGCAATGCCCCTGAGATCTTTACGATTTGAAGCTCTCAGGCGTGTCGCTTACCACCAGGTGCACTATTTGTATGTAATTTAGTTGTTAGAAATGGTAAAGATCACATGCCACCTCAAGAATTTGAACCGTAAATGTCTAAATTGAGAAGCAACGGTGGCGGCGAATGCCCACTAGGCTACCGGTATTAGTCAGCAATATTCATCAATATTCGATGGCCACGAACAGCTGTTGCGGACACAGGTGGCCTAATTACCCTAATGAACTGAAGCTGATTATTGGCTGTTGATAGACCGATTTGCAACTCTGCATTGCTGATGCAGTATTAATTATGTGTTCGACATTTGGTCTTGGGATAGTTGGCAATAAATACCACTGATTCCAAACACTGATGGCCTAAACGATCTATCGAATTCAAGTACAAGATTTTGTACAGTTTAAAAAACATTAAACATGCCAACATGAGATTGCTGGATGTTTTTTAAGCCATTTAACTTAAAACTTTTTTACTTTTTTAACTAAATAAATATTGATGATTAAAAGATAACAAGGTATCTAAATTTTAAGTAATACACATAAAGTTTTTGATATCTCCCTCTGAAATTTAAAATTATCGGAAAATATTTATATTTTTACTTGCAATTACAAGACTTTTCTTTAAAATACATAACCATTTTTTAGGATCTAAATTACGTACTTTATTTTTTATGAACAAACCAACGTTTTCAAGTCCCATCTCAGTCAGCCGTGGCCATGGGACCTGTAAAGAGCTCAAAAAACTGGTTTATTTGAAAAAACAAAAAATAGTTTCATTTTTTTTGTGTAACAATCGCGAAAACCTAAGAAATCGATGCATAACTGTAGTAAAGTAATTGCTAGTTACACAGTACAATACATTCCGGAATTTCTGAGGGAGGTGTTATCCAATGTATACATAGATTGGATATACATATACACACTTTACCTGAAATTTTGATAAATAATAGACTCGTAACATCTAAAACTACAACGCGTCATTAGTTCCATCACGCCACCGCTAGATGGCATTAGTTGTACCCTGAAACGCGCTATAGTTTAAAAAACTTCAATAGTAAAGGGTTTTTCAACAAGAACTTTGTTTTGTAAATCAAGATAAAACTATAAATTGAGATGACAATGATTAAAATTTTAATTATATTAAAAAAGTAAGGTTTGGCAATTATGAATGAAAAATTATATCTGATAATGTTCATCACGACTACAGTTACAGATGTCGATTCTCACCATCAAACTTTTTTAATCACTTTGGTGGCCAAAATGGTGGGTCTATTTCGTTAATCACTTCACGAATTTTACATTTTAAGGCTACAATCGATTCGATTGGCTCCATATACACTCAGTCTTTAACATTACCCTACAAAAAATAATCCAGCGGTGTTAAATCACATGATCGGGATGGGCACTTAACGGCTGAATTTCGTGAAATTATGCGATCGGGAAATTTGGTTTGCAATAAATTCATTGTTTCGGTGGCTGTGTGACTTGTGGCACCGTCTTGTTGAAACCGCATGTTAGTGATATCCATATGATCAATAATAGGCCAAAATCGAGTTGTTAACATCTCTCGATAGCGTAATTAATTGGCAGAAACCGCATTTCCAGCCGAATTTTCAAAAAAAAACGGCCCAACGCCAACGGCACAAGTCCTCAGAATTTTGAGAAAAAAAAAATTGCGAAAAAAATTCACCTGAATGG